GGGTGGCAGGAGATGTAGTCCCTTGCGGGGGGAGCTGGCATCTCATGGAGTGTCCCCCCCCAAACCCCAGGCCACGCTGGAGAAATGCGCCAAGTGCCGGGGGCTGATCGCGGAACGCATCGTCCGTGCCCTGGGCAAGGGCTACCACCCCGGCTGCTTCTCCTGCGCCGCCTGCGGCCGGGCCATCGGCACCGAGAGCTTTGCTGTGGACGAGCGGGATGAGGTGTACTGCGTGGCTGACTTTTACAGGTTGGGGAGCATCCCCCACGTTGGGAGGGTTCGGCTCATCCCCGTCACCCCCCAGGGCTCACGCCACCCCGGTTTGCTCCCATCAGGAAATACGCCGTGGTTTGCAGCGCCTGCGAGCACCCCATCGTCCCCCGCGAGGACAAGGACACCTACAAGATCGAGTGCCTGGGACGCAGTTTCCACGAGAGCTGCTACCGCTGCGAGGTACAGCCCCGACGGGCTGGGGGTGCCCCCCAAAAGCCGAGGGGTTTGGCACCGAGCCTTTGCAAAGCATGGCCCCTGGGCTCACAGCACCCGGGGTTATTTTTTAGCCACCAGTTTATCTTGCAAGCGACAGGGAGGGGGGAAAAATAAATAAATCAGGTGAAAAGGACGATGCGTTCGGCCAGGAGAGCTTTAGCTTTTCATGCTTTTTATGTAGTTTGTCGCTTTTTCCAAGCGCTGGTGGGTTTTGCAGGAAAGATGGGATGCAATGGCACAGTGTCTCACATGCAATGCAGCCCGAGGATCCCTAAAACATGGCCTCCCTTTCCCCTCTCGCCTCCAGAGCTGTGGGACACCCCTGTCGCCGGAGCCGACGGAGAATGGGTGCTACCCCCTGGATGACCACCTCCTCTGCAAGTCCTGCCACGTCCGCCGGCGGAACGAGTCATCCTGCTAAAACCCCATGGCTCGACCTCCGTCTTCCAGCGCCAGACACCAAAAAGGGGGTGCACCCACCAGGATGCACCCCGCCGCCGGTCCCGGGTGCCCGCTGCAGGACCGGTGTTTTTGTCACCAAAATGTACCCAGACCCCCGTCCCACCAGGCTAGCCAGGCAGAGAAGCGCAGATGTAGTGTCCCGGCATGGCTCTGCGCTCATTACGAACACAAAAAGCCCTGGCAGAGCAGCGGTGGCGGAGGAGCTGAGGTTTCCTTCACTTATTGCTTTTTTTTAAACTCCTTTTCCGAGGCCAGTTTGGTTTCCTTGGGTGTTTTTTCTTTCTTCTTGAGCTTTCTTGGGGTTTCACTTAAACATTTCTCTCTGTGGTGATGCAGAGAGCAGGCACTGATTTAGTTACTCGCAGTTAAATAAAACCCCGAGTTTAAAACCCCTCATTTCTTTCATCCGCCCTGCATTCCAAACCCATAAAATGCAAGTTTAAAAATAAGAAAAAAAGCCACTTTTTAGATTTTATAGGCGTGGGGAGAGTCGGGTCACTCAGGGCGATAATGCGGCTGATTTTGGGGTGCAGCGATTTGGTAGATGCCGCTGTTGCCCAGGGGAGAGCAGAGGGTCGTTTTTTGGGGCCAGATTCGGGATTTTGCGATGTGCCCTGCCTGGGCTCCATCTCAAGCAAGTCCCGGAGCCGGCAGAGGGCAGCCGGAGCACAAATTCCCCCATCAGGCAGAAAAACTCCAGCTAAACGTTCTCTCTCCTATATCCGACAGTGCCAGGATGCCGGGAAAGACAGACAGCCCCATTTTTGCACGTTATCCAAGATAATATCGCTCCACTGCCGGAAGCTTTTTGATCTTCTCTCCCTCCAAGACCCAAACCAGCAGAAATTAGACCATTTCTCTGTGTGCCTGACATCTGTGCAACCAGTGTCCCTGGCACTTAGTGGTTTTGTTTGCGAGGGCGTTGCAAAGCAGCCAAAGAAAGAGGGGTTTTCTTTTTAACCGAAAGTGCTTAAAAAGCCACAAATCGAGAGCAGAAAATAGCAAGAGCATCTGAGATGATATTTAATGCTTTCCCGACGGAAAAAAGGGAGCTGCTAAAAGAAACAACCACCAAACCAGCAGCCATACGCTTTTAGGTCACGTTGTATAATGTTTCTCCAGCGCGTGCTGTATTTATGAATGAAAGGGTTAATGTATAGTTAATGTATGCACTGGAGTCCGGCGGGCTGGTTGATTAATCACACCAACCCCGCAACTATTTCCTGCCGACTCTCCCCATCTACAAAGCCTATTACTCAGCGTTCATAATGTGGGTCTATGGCCCATCAATCAGGTCATAACTTGCTATAAACTTATTTATAATAGGATGTTAATGTAAAGTTGTGGTCTGTCCTGGTCACGTAAGTAGGTGGCTTTGGGTCTGGCTGGGTGGGGACGCCGCATGCCCCCGTGTCCCACGCCGGGGAAGTCCCGTGCTCAAAGCCAGCTCTCGCTTTCCAAAGCCTCTCGCCCTGTGGGGAAAACCAGGCACCAAAATGATGCTAAGAAAGTAAAAAGACGTGGGCAGACTTGGCGGTGGCCAAAGGGAAGCCCCAGAGAGCAGCGTTGCCCATTTTTTGGCAATATGGGTATTTTTCCAAGTGAGGTTTTCAGGAAGGATGGAAACGCTGATGCTGAGCAGCGTTTTGGATGCGTTATTGCACTGCACGCTGGCTTAAACCCTCTGCGCAGCACCCTTAGGGGCTCAGCAAGCTACGCTACCCCTCCGCAGAGCTAATGGTGGGAAGGGGTTGGGTATTTCCCCCGCAGAGCAAGCCAGGATGGGCTGTTAGCACTGGGACTGCAGCGATTTTTGGCCGGAGGCAAGCACGGAAAGGTTTTCATCAAATGAAGCCTTGGAGAAGGGCTGAGGAGAAGGGCAAGGCACAGCTGGAGAGTTTGGTGGCACAGTGAAGGGACACAGAAGTGGTCAGATTTGGCATATTTTTCCAGGACCGGAGGATGACGAAGGACAGGGATGGATGGACATGGAGGTAAGAGGATAAAAGACTGATTTAAGCCATTTTATTCTCGGATAAAGGGAGAAGCCTTACGAACTGAGGCGCAGGGAGCGTCACTAAGCCTGAAAAGCACGGCCCCGCATTTTCCCCCGGGAGGATCTCGAGGAATTTCCAGTGCCGGCCGAGCCGCGTGGAAGAGATTTTGCAGGGGTGGGGCTGCGGGAGCTGGGTCCCATCCTGCTGCCGAGCAAGCCCACGTCGGCTGCGACGGCTCAGCCCATCCTTGGGCTCCTTGCCCCGTTGCAAGCGCCCAGGTCTGCTAGCAAAAATAAAATAAATACAAATCATGCACGGATCAACATGAAGCTCTTGCTCTCCTTGGGAGCCCCCCAAAGCCTTGCAGAGTCCCTCCGAGACCACCCAGGCATAAAACCCACTCGAGGTCTCTCTCGTCTCCCTCCAGTGGTGGTGCAAAAGGGCAAAGAGGATCGTACGCCTCCAAATCGCACCAGCCGGGCCCTGCCCTTCCCTCGGCTGCTGCAATAAGCCCGTCTTTTCTTGCAATCCCTCTTGGCAGACCAAGGAGAGTGGGGAGGGACCTGGCTGCCCTCCAAGGAGAAGCAAATGCAAATATTTCTTCACTTCAGGCTGGGTGCGGCCCGGGGATAAAATTTCCCCGGGCTTTCCCAGAGAAGGCATCCGATACGGTACCCTGCTGCAAGCCCAATTTGCTCCCAGGAATACAACAGTGTATCCCATAAAAAAACCTAAAGGTTATCTTTCTTGCAACTCAAAGGACTGCCTGATTTTTAAAAAGAGCTTTTAAATTAAAGGAGGAGCTGACAGGCATGGCCGTAGTATTTTTAAATCAGTGGCCAAAGTGTTGCTTTGTAACAAATAAGGCCTTTTTTCAGGTTTTGTTTGCAAGCCGAAGATTTTGGCGCGGCACAAGGAAAGCGAGTCCATAAAGGGAAATGGGCTGGAAACCGCCTTCCCCGGCATCCCCCCGGCCAGCCGTGAGAAATGCAAAAAGCAGAGAGGGAGAGATGAGCTGGATTCCTCGCGTGCCTTCGCTCTGCCATCACCGCCTTCAAGGTGCCGGGAAGGAGCCAGCTGCGGAGAGGGAAACGCTGCAGGAGGGGAAACTGAGGCCGAAGTAGCCGCTGGGGCTTTGCTGGCTGGAAAAGGTGCTGGCAGGAGGGTTGGGTGCTTCATGCTGATGATGTTTTTTGGGTTTTTTTTTTTCCAAAGGGAATGGAGAGAGCTGGAGGAAAACTGGGTTTTTCCTTTGGTCGACCCAGGTTAATTGCAATCATATCCCAGATGGCTTGCTGCAGCGTCATCCTTCCCTGCAGAGCGTTCAGACTCGTTTTCTGCACTTTCCTGTCTTCGACACAACCTAAAAAACTAACATTTCTTAAATGAAAAGTGGTCTGATCCTGCTGGCTATGGGAAGGGGGGAACCAGCAGGGATTACTCTGGGAGCAGCCTAAGCCCTGAATATCTCCAGCTTCATTATGCAGCACAGGCTGGATGTATTAAAAAAAAAATGCAATATTCTCCTTTTTTCCCATTTTCCCTGCAAAACTGAAACACCCAGCACCACGATATATTTTTAAAGCACGCGTGTTTTCAATAACACGAGGTGAAATCGATGCAGCCAGTTACGCAAGCGTGTTACCAGGCTGCAAGTGCTACACTGGGTTATTTTTTAAAAAAAAAAAAAAAAAAAAGGAAAAAAAACCCCAAACAACCCACCCTATTTCTGAAAATAGATGCACGGCACACGCCTGCAAGCAGGGCTTTGACATTTTATATCCCAGCTTTCCTTCATCGTATCAGCAGCGATTACAGCATCCCACAGTCCTATTTCCCAAAAATTAACAATTTTGCCCAGACCTGGCTTCAAGCAGCTTACGTTACATTTTTATTTTGCTGGAGCGTCCATTAGAGCCCTTAGGTGATGGGTTTTATTAAAAAAAAAAAAAGAAAAAAAGAAAAAAAAAATCTCAGAGGTTATCCTGTTTGTCAAGGCAGCTTATTGACCTCGGTGATTTATCACTGGGAAAAAAGCTGGAGGAAGGAGAAGGAGGGGGGGAATAGCTCCTAAAAATAAATATATCCCTTAATTCTCTGTGAGACTAAACTTTCCCTCACAGCCCAGCTGGAAGAAGAATATACTTTAATCTCCTTTATCGGATTGCTTCGTCTGAGGCTGAATCTTGCTGAGGCGATCGGCTCCTGCCGGCGTTTTAAGGGCGCCACGTTTTTGTGCAGGGGAAGAGAAATAAGCAAGAAAAGAGAGGGTATTTGCCTGACAAAAGGGGGAGGAGGAGGCCGAGGGCTGCCCCTCACGGCCCGGCCCCGCTGCCTCC